TGCGTCTGTTTGTAGTAAAACTTCTATTGTATTTGCCTAAGTAGTAGAACTTGTTTGTAGAAGACTTATTGTATTTCCCTAAGTATTAGCTATTCCAGACATTATAACTATGATTTAGGCTATGAGTGACTGTTATATATGGTTGCTTGCGATATACTATTTTGTCGACATTGTTTGGTAACCTGAGATTGTGGACAGAAGATGGACATCGGCTGATACAAGCCAGGTACTTTGTTTTCTTACACATCGACATTTATAGATTATACTATGCATTAGTTGAATCTATTCTCACACATATGGTTTTTTTAGGTGAGGTTTTACGGGGAACAACAAACAGGCGTGTTGGTTCAGTCTTATGGGTGAGGTTTTACGAGGAACAACAACGATCAGTCTTATCAGCATTGAATCAAGGTTAGTTATCATCAATGCTTTATGGTTCGAATTAAAGTACTAGGTTAGAATAATCAGTTAAGTACTAGGTTAGAATAATCGGTTAGGTTGTCATCAATGTTTGGTTAGTCTGCTTTTTTGTTAGGTGAAGAGTAATTGTTGGTTTAGTTTGTGATGAATGCTATTTGTTTGTTGATGATTAATTGCAAGAATGGGTGTGTATTTATTGCTCGTTCTCTTACTAACTTAAACCCTAACTTACGTACTAACTCTATATAAACCAATCTTATTCATCTTCTGTTCTTCATCCATATGCTTCTTGGCGTTTGTAATTCTGTTTAAATCTTGTAGCTCTTCCTTTCTTCTTTTATCCCTCTATCCTTTTCAACCATTCCTTATTTACCAAATGGATTCTTCGAATGCTTTTGGTAATTCTCAGGGTTTTGTTAATTTTTTAACAAGCCAAGCAGAAAACCCTTACTATTTTTCTCAAACCATAGATCTAACCTCATCAGACTTGCCTCCATTTAGTAGTCAGCAAGCTAACGATGACTCGTGTGTGGCTTCCAAGGATCGCAAGGAGAGGCGGATATGGTCACCAGTGGAGGACATTGTTTTGATCAGTTGTTGGTTAAATACCAGCAAGGATCCGGTAGTGGGAAATGAACAAAAAACTGGAGCTTTTTGGAAGCGTATTCAGCTCTTGTTTAATGCCAATAAGAAGTTAGCCGACTTACCAGGCTGAGAGGCACCTCATTGCAAGCAGAGGTGGGGAAGAATCAACGACCAAGTCAGCAAGTTTGTAGGTTGTTATGAAACGGCTGTGAAAGGGCAGAGAAGTGGGCAAAACGACGATGATTTGGTGAAAGCTGCTCATCAAATATTTTACAGTGACCACCAGTTTAAGTTCGGCCTCGAGCATTGTTGGAGAGAATTACGGCATGACCAGAAGTGGTGCACCTCCACGACGGACAAAGACTCTGAAAAAAAGAAACGAAGAAAGGGGGACGAGACTTCGGCTCACGCAAGTCAACCTGAAATACTTGTAGATAGCTCTCCTGAAGCTCGGCCGCCTGGAGTGAAGGCAGCAAAAGCTGCTGCTAAAAAGAAGGTGAACGGAGCTGCTAAAGACGAAGGGAAAAAAATGGACGACTTCAAGGATTTGTGGGAAATAAAACTGAGAGACTTGGAATTGAAGAAGGCGCTGTCTAGACAGAGAATGCTAGAGAGTCTTCTTAGTAGAACCGAGCCACTTTCTGAGAAAGAAGTTGATTTTAGGGACAAACTTCTTGATGAATTTATTTGATAATTTAAGTTAAGAGCTTGTAGGTGTTGTTATGATGACTTTATCATAATCAGTTTAGTGTTTTTAACGTGTCATATGTGTTGTATGAATACGGTGCTATTTAATGTTTAATGCAATGTTTGTTTTTGGATAACTAATATATATGATGATAATGATGTATACTTCTTCCAACTTATGTGAATTTTTCTGATCGTAATGTGAACAGGTTGGTGATCGTATACAGAACTCATTGAAGGGCCAAATAGTGGAAACCCGTGAACGGAAACAACACTCAGTGGAGGGACCATATTTTTTTGTTGTCTTCTGTCCTTGACCACGAAATGGTTGATATTTTTATGTTGTCTACTGTTTGTGATATTTTTAAAAACTTACATTATTGGACCGAGAATCTTGTTTGGAAGCCACACAATTGTTTGTAAATATTTTTGCCACTTCTCTATGTAAAGATCGATCAAACTCATTACCATATCACACAAACAATTTAACCTTCTTTCTCTCAAAACAAACACTTCTTTCTCTCAGCCTAAAAGAAATTATTTCTCTCAAAACAAACAGTTGTCCGTTTTTTTTCCTAAACCATTCTCTATATTTTCATCTTCAACATGGCATCTTCTTCAAACACCCCCATTGATGTCGATATTGATGACTACTTTGATGAAACTTTTGATAATATCTTGGAGGAAACATTTGAAGATGCATTCAACAAATTACTACATCAGCATACCGCTCCAATGCCAGAAAAGAAGAAAAAAAGAGCATATATTGAAAGAGCACGTGAAGAAGGCCATCAACGGTTATGGAACGACTATTTCAGTGATGATGCAACATATCCTCCTCATCTATTTCGCCGCCGATTTAGGATGAGAAAGACGTTGTTCCTGCGTATTGTTGATCGACTCTCAACGGAATTAGCTTTTTTTCAACAAAGGAGAGATGGTGTTGGAAGGGTTAGCCTCTCTGCATTACAGAAATGTACAGCGGCAATACGTATGATGACGTATGGCACTGCAGCAGATGCGGTTGACGAATACCTTCGGCTAGGTGAGAGTACATTTATTTCTTGCTTAGAAAATTTCACTGAAGGAATTATCTCTTATTTCGGAGATGGATACCTAAGAAGGCCCACCGAGATGATCTAATACGCCTACTTGATGTCGGAGAGTCACGTGGATTCCCGGGGATGATTGGAAGCATCGACTGTATGCATTGGGAGTGGAAAAATTGTCCAACCGCTTGGAAATGACAATATACACGTGGTTCAGGAAAACCGACAATCGTCTTAGAGGCAGTGGCATCGCATGATCTATGGATATGGCACACATTTTTTGGACCTCCAGGTACTTTAAACGACCTTAATTTTCTTGAACGCTCCCCGGTTTTTGATGACATTTTACAAGGCCGAGCTCCAAGAGTTAAGTACTATGTCAACAGAAACAAATACCGTTTGGCATACTACCTCACTGACGGTATCTATCCAAAATGAGCAACTTTCATAAAATCGATTCCCCTACCGCAAGATCAAAAGACCCGATTGTTTGCTTCATGTCAAGAATCCTACCGCAAAAATGTCGAACGTACTTTTGGAGTCTTGCAGTCTCGTTTCGCAATTATAAAAAATCCAGCTCTTATTTGGGATAAGAGAAAAATTGGGAATATTATGCGGGCAATCATCATTCTGCATAATATGATCGTGGAAGACGAACGCGATGGATATAATCTAGTTGATACAACACAATACGAACAAGACGACATTAACAGAAGTTCTCAGGTGGATATGTCATATTCTACATACATGCTTACAAATATCCAAAATTTGACAGGCAATCGCGAAGAAGTTCGGCATTTAGAAACACATGATAAATTGCAAAAGGATTTACTTGAACATGTTTGGCAGAAATTTGGACATTTGGTTTAATGTTTTTTTTCTTGTGTTTTAATTATATGTAATGAATAAGTTTGTTTAATCTTTTTCTCATGTATTTTTAATTATATGTAATGAATAATTTATTTGAAATTATAATAAATTAAATGTTTAAAATTAATTTTCGAAAAAAAAATTTGAATAAAAAATTATTATAATAATTCAAAGAACTCCTTGAAAGGATTCAGGGTTGGACATCAATTTTTTCATAGAGTTCATCCAAAAAAAATTTCTCAAAAAACTAATAAAAAAATCTGATAAACCCCTCATTGTGGTTCAAGGTTGGAGATGACCTTACATATTCACTTTTATGATTGGTAAAATAGTATATATCTACTAAAATGGTATATCATGTACCAATACGGGATTATCAATCAAACTCATATTTTATTTAAACAGAAAATCAAAACAGGTTAACTAATCTTTTTTATTCGTATCTGATTTTGTGACTTTGAATATTTTTGTTTTGATGGTCATTTAGTAGTACGTTTTTTTTTTCTTAAATAAAAGAATTGGACACCCCCAATTGTACGGCAGTTAATTTCTAATAATTTTTGTACCATGGTTTCATTAATGACGGGCATTAATTTGGTTATATTCCCACAATTAATGGAAAGTAGTATTTTGGGAGTTACAAAAGGAGACAATAATAAATCACTAGCTTGGTTAAAAAGTGCTTAATTATTCCATATCACACTCAAATAGAGACTTTATGTAGTTGGTTTCGTTCTTCTTTATAAAACAAAAATAAACATAGAACGTCTCCATTGACATTTGGCACCATACATTTTTCTTTAAACTTTTTAAGATCCACAGTAATTTTTCTTAACAATTTAGTGAGAACTGAGAACCAACATCTAACGACTATGTATATGTAATATAGCAAATTTTCAAATGAATAAAAGAACAGAATATGATTTTTTTTTTTTAATAAAAAAAAACAGAATATGATTCGTGTGAAATAATGTAAAGTTTAAAAAACTATTATAAAGGAAGACTCTTCCTCCCTTCGACCAAAAAAAAAAAAAAAAAAGACTTCCTCCCAAAGTTTCGTTAACTGTTGTGGACGACAAAGCATGCCCAACGGACCTCCGTTGTGCACACCGCACGCTCGACATCTCCTGGTCCCACTTTTTCCTTTTTTTTTCTAATTTTTATTTTTCATTTCATGATTACTATTATTAGTTGATTCAATTATATATATCCCTATAATCATTTCTATTACTATAATTTAAAATCCAAGGGTTCTTCACAAACCATTCGTCATAAGCTAACGACAACTCTTAAGTCTCTAACCTATATAGACACTTAATGCCGTAATATAAACTTTTATTCTTACACACATGCATAACCCTAAAAGTATTCTTTTCAAAAATATTAGTATCATTTATCAAATACGCAAATTCCAATATCATAATCCAAATTTGTACTCAAGAACTCACTGATGAACCTGTTCTCTTCATCTCTGTCGTTTAACGACATCGACGAATCCATCTCCATATCTTCATGATTGATATGATGATGACCAATGTAACCTGAAGTTCCATGATCTTCTTCACTCATAAGTTGGGAAGCAACAAACTTGTCTAGCTCTCTCCAATCTCCCCCCAACATTATTTTGTTTTTCTTCTTCCTTTTATTCTCCTTGCTTAATATTGACTCGAAGCTTTCTTCCTCTTGTAATGAGAGTTTGTAGTTATTATTGTTGTCCACTGATGCTATGGACATTGAGCTCGATGGCCTTTTCATCAGCGGGAGAGAAGGGCTTTGGAGTTGTGGAAGCTGAATGAATTGATGGTCCGATTGCATATAGTTTAGACCATCAAACATTCCTTCTAGTTCTTGCTTACACATCAAACCTTTTCCAAAAATGTTATGTTGCTGATTAGATATGTACTCAATGGGGTCTATAACGGAGTTAATTCCACTTGATACGACTTCATCGTAGAAGTAACTTGAGCTCCAAGTTTCCATATTTTTGCCTTGCCCTGTTGGTCTTTTCTTGAATGCTCTACAAACCACCCACCCTTCTTCCTATCATACGAAAGAAGACATTCTTTGTACTTAGAAACCTTCGCTCGTTTTGATGTTTCAAAACAACTAATAAAGAATCATAGAATCCGTTTGGCCAGTGCAAACAAAAAAAAAAGGAGAAAAAGCCATTGTAATTTTAGTGAGACACACATAAGGACATGCTTGAAAAGTGTGAGATCGCAAGGAAGAAAGATAGTGAATGTATAGGTACATACTCATGCAATCTAATAGATTTTCACTTTTGAGCTTTATTGACTTTAGGATCTTGGGAAAACAAGAAACGAATATTTATAAGAAATTATTTCTATTTAATTTACATATATATATATATATATATAGAGCACTATTCAGAGTGGAAATTTATAGCTGACCAAAATCGTGTTAAAAAAAGGGATTGAATTGTCTTAAACGAGACAAGTTTTACCCATTTACTATTCAAAAGGGAAATGTGATTGTGTAGCCAGGTTTTTTTTAGTTCAAAACTAAAGATGCAATGACAGAACATGTACATCTAATAAACATATAGGAGAGAATTTTACTCATGACTTTATTTTTTCTTGTTTTCCCTGGTTGAATAATATGTGTATTATTCTACATTAAGTCGTAAAGGTGTTAGACTTTCACCTAAAAGTTAGCATGTGCTTCCCAATAGAGCCCAAGAGACAAGAAGCCCTAGTTAAAAGTGTCTTGTCCCCATCAAGGTAGAAACAAAATTACTAGCTAGCCTCATTGAAGTTTGTATAGAAAGAGGACATGTAAATAAGAAAAAGAAAAGGGTGAAAAGATGAATATGAATTTAAATAGTTTATCATGATCAATCTTTTTTAGTAAGACCAATCGATGGTATATGTGAAATACCTGGGGCGGTGCGTTCTCATCAGACTCGAGCCGGTACTCATGCATGATCCAATCGGATTTCTTGCCATTAGGAGCACGTCCTTTATAGAACACAAGTGTTTTCCTCATCCCAATCAGTTTTTTCTTGTCATAAACAGCTTTGTCTCTCCCTGTGGCTTTCCAAAATCCAGCCATGGTCGCTCTATTAGTCCTTGTCCCCGTTGGATATTTCTTGTCCTTGTGACTAAAAAAGTACCATTCATTTTGTTCCTCATAACCGATACGACATCGCTCTGTAATATATGAAATGTAAGCTCATAATAAAAAATTCAAGATCATAGATATACTTTGTTTACATATCTTAACATGATGATAACAATATATTATATGTGATAGTGTAATTTGTAAGTAACCTTGTAGATCCCATGGTTCAATTTTGTAGAGATCGATGTCTTTAATGACATCAAGATCGATCTTTTGTGATGCCACTTTCTTCCTTAGATAGTACCCGACAAGCTCTTCGTCGGTCGGATGGAACCTAAACCCTGGAGGAACGCTACAAGATTCCATTGTTTCTACACAACCAAAATTAAACACCACAATGAACATCAATATAAATATGTACATGCATGTACTAAATTTTGCTCTTGTTTACGTATGTGTACACTAATTCATGATATCATAAGTTATAACTTATAATTTATGAGCCCACAAGATCACAAATGAAAGAAGATATGGTATAGTGGAATATATTAGACGTATAATTCATCCTTTATAGAGTACTCTTTACTATAAACAAAATCATTTGTAGAGTTTCGCGCACATACAAAAAAAAACATTTATATATAGAGTACTCGATAGATAGTTGACAAAATGCTATATGAGATATAATCATCAAACTCATTTCGTAGTGAGGTTCCACTTGATTTTATAAATATTTCTCATGACTCATGTGGTTTATGATGAAAAACTTACATACATGTATATATATTCATAAATAAGATATGTTTTTTTAACAGTAAATAAAATATTTTACATGTATGAAATTTAGGTTTTACGTTGAATTCAAGGAGATGAGATCAGAACAAACGGGCATTTTACTAATGATGATGTCTCTTATTGTACAGTGTTAGAGAATGGAGACAATGATCATCAAAACGGCGTTTCACTCAAAAACTATTTTATCTATTTTATACTATTAAAATATAATTAAAATTAATGTATTATATATAATATAATCACTAATATACTTAGCGATAACCCTAGAATTACATAGAACAAGTACCCCGCAATAAACAATCCAATCATCTAAACCTATGTATCCATTAAAAAAGGTTAGAAAGATCAGCTTATTCAGGCATAGGACAAATACGTCGTGACTTCTTAAAAAAATCTTTTTTCTTGCTGCAGATTCAACTTAAAACGATAAAAACAAATTAATACTATATTTTAGGCTATAGATATATATGTCAATGATGAAATATAGGATGGATCGTTCGATCGAGTGAAGAAAACATCTCAAATGCACGGTAAGCTATATATATATATATATATATATATAGTTAAAATAAGATAAATTAAGGATGCTTACAAGTAATTAACAAATGACCAACACATAAAGTCCAAAGAACTCACATAATTAACAAAAAGAAAAAGAATACACATACGTCTAAGTAGAATATATATGTTCTTGAAATCCCTTTGTTAACATATTAGGGTTATACCTTGTAAATCTTCTGCAGAATAATTAAAAAGGAAGCTATATTCGATCGAGGCAGCTAGTGATGGAAACTAAAGGAAAACCTAGGAATATCAACGGTGAGAACAGCTCAGTTATCAATAAATGTGAGAGAAATGAAGAAGAGAGAAGAAGTAGAGAGCGGACGAAGAAGAAGATGAATTAAGGAGAAAGACGATCGGATTTGGTGAATATAAAGGTGAGGAGAGAGTGTGGACCGCTCCATTGCGCGTGGCCTTCTCCATGTCCTTATTCATTCACATCACTCTCCTCTTGCTTTTTATTGTTATTTTTTAATTTATTTACATCCTTGGATTTATTTATTGATTTTTATTCACTTTTCTTTTTCACCCAACGATATTTTTTTGATTATTCAGACATGTTGTATCAACAACTAGCCAATATAGTAATTAAGCTTTATAATAAATTAAAATATGAAATCCCTATATATTATTACATGTGTTTTGTGCAAACATAAAACCTAGAAGCAAAATCAATTATGCCTCACTATGCAGTTCTAAGTGCGGCGCCAAATTGCCTCATCAACTTCCCTAGAGACCTAAAGAATCATCAATTGCACGATAGTGATTAAACTACAAGATCCACTCCACACCGCTAGTTGCATTTTTTACCGGAGTAAGAGCCATTTTTACTCACCAAAAACGAAGATTGTCTCCCCATGTCCTTTGACCTTTGGAATGCAACTACTAGGTTTGATCCGACCCTCCAATAAGTTAGCCACAAACTACTGTTGATCGATAAACCCCATAACAGTGTGTATAAGGTATGACCTTACAAATGTTTCACGGTATCCAAGAAAGGATTCGAAATCAACTAACATTTCTTCTTCATTAGATATATTCTCCATAATAATTATAATTGAAGAAATCGACGCCGATGAAATTAGTGAACAACTTAAACACTGAAAGGTCGAATAACATAAGAATAGTGTATATATGACGGTGTATGACTAATCGTTTTCTCCTATGATTGTATGCACGACCATTACAAGATATAGATCTATTAAGAAGGGCAATATATCATCGGCTATAAAATGGAAATAGATAATGTATATATATATATATATATACATATTTTTAAAAAAATAATAAGTTATACCTTTTTCGGTTGTTGGTTAGGTTTGTTTCATTAAGATTTTTAAATATTTATTTAAGAAAAAAAAACAAAAAGTAGAAATCTATCAGTTTTTTATATTTATTATGTTTGGCTACAATATAATATAATTTGGTTCATCCAAATTTTATTTGTTTTTAGCACCAAAAAAAAAAATCAGGAGTATATAGATAAGTATAGCTTGGCTAATCAGTTATTAATTAGTACGGTTAGTTACTAACAAATATTATAAATAAATACTAACTTTCTGAAAATAATATTATATAGCCTATCTAAATATGTATATAGCTTTTTTATAATCATATACAACAATTAATCTTGAGTTTTACTCTTTCCTTTTATTGTCCTCCACTAACAGAATGCGTTTTACATAAGTTTTTTATATAAAGAATATATTTATATAGCAGTGAGATACAAGCCTTCTTGATGGAGAACTTTTCACATTTTGGGCTTATTTGTAGCCACAGCTTAAATATTTTAAAAATCCACAATTCTACTTGGCTTAGAAATTAATCTAGGTTTCAGCAATGTTAATAATATTGTTTCTTCTTCTTATGGAATTAGGTGTTTAGCCCGCACCTTGTGCGGGCGGAAATGTTTCATTGAAAATACTTACTCAAAATCGTTAATTTATTCGAAAGACTTGCTCAAAATCGCGTTGCGCGGGCGGAAACATCATCTTTTCTTTCAATTTCTTTTCGTCTTGTTCTTTCGATTTTTTTTCTTCCTATTGTTCTTTATATAGTCTGTATTTTCCAATTTCTTATTCTTCTACATAAAATATTAAATAAACAGACTTTTTCTTTGTGTTTTTCTTCTTATTTTAGTTTTATTCCTTCTTCGTATTTTTTCTACTATTTATTTTTGGAAGTTTGGAAGTTTTCTATATTTTCACATCTTTTATAGGCTTGACTATCTTTGTATAAACGATAAGTTTCAAAAAATCTTGCGGAGTGAAGCACAAAGATAACATACACACATATTATCCGAGTATTCTAATATGAACTCTCCTCTTAAAACGAAGATGAAATATAGTTTGGAAGCTGAAACGAAGTCACTCTTAAAGTTGTTATTCTTTATTGCCTAAAAATAATCCCAAAATTATATATAAATCAAACAATTAAAACATGTTTTCATTTTTAATCATAAAAATTAGAATTGTATTCACTTCTTATATTTCGTTGAAAGAATAATCTTCTCATAATAAATTATTTATTATTTGAGACATATATTCTTCCAATTATTTTCTTAAAAAATATTAGATTCTTAAACAATTATACTTAATGAAATGACTCTCTCATAGGAGTTACTCACTTTCCTTTTGATTGTTATGTAAGGTATCTACTGGTATTATCTTGACTATTTTCTGGTTTTTGAAACTTTACCAATGTACTCTGTTATTGATATTTACATAATGAGATTAGTTTTTCTATAAGGCGTTGAAAGAAGTAAACATCTTTTAATTAGTGGAGTGATGCTATAAATTTTTTTAAGGGAAAAAATATATTCTTTATTTATCTTAACCAATAGCTTCTCAATACTATAACCTTACAATTTTGCACATGTCCCTCCGAATTGTAAACCGAATACTTGGTATGATCCTTAATTTGGAAAATACCACTTGCAATAAACCATACGGTTTTTTGCACCAATAATATAAATCTGAAGCTGAAAGATCTCTCACTTACCACTTGGATCTTTCTTAGACCCTCCTTGTCAACCTTTGTCATTTGAAAGAAGATCTAGAGTCTGTTGTTGATTTGTGCTCTCATTGTGTTCCACATCAGCAAGACCATTCTCCAAAGCTTTCACGTGTTTTTCGAAGTAGGTTTGGTTACTTTAGTCAAATGAAATCATTGAAACTTTTGGATGGTTCATTAGTTCCGGAGACAAACTGTTCAAACTACATCTCTGCACAATGATGAAGCCTCTCCAAACCAGCTCGAGCTTCCCCTTGCAAATACTCGAAAAAGTTGTGTCTTTGCATGTTCATGATGAGCAAGGTAGTATCCATATGCAAATGTCCATTTCAAGACCCTCCTACATTCCATTATCTAATCCTAAAATCAACCACATAAATACCTTGATCCGTTTAAAAAAAATGTTATAACAAAAGTCTCACTGAAAGTCTCATTACTAATATTCCTAAATTAGCATGATTGCAAGATTTTACCAATAACAGTCTTTAGTGAAATCACACTTTCTGTTCAACGATTCCATAAGATTTAACATGAAAAATATAATTTTAAACCCTGATTGGTCTAGTTTTGTTTAAATTTAATCAATAATTTCCCATTTATATTCCATTATGCATGATCCTGGTTCACCTTGAATAACCATGTATTTTGCACGACCAAGAAAGTCTGGTTGGGACAAGAGTCATGGGCTCATCGAAATCTTTATTCCAATGATTTCTTCAGCTTTTACTATAATTAGAGTGAAGAAGCAGAGCGATCAATTCGACTTGGCTTATAGAGAGAACAGTAGAAACTCGTTCAATATGATCTCTTTTATGCTTGTGAATATTTTGTTTTGTTTTGCTACGATTTTATGCTTGTGAATATATTCTTCACTATAACTGGACATCACAATTTACAACGCTAAATCAGTATGATTAGCATCACTTTGATTCCTCAAAATTTATGAGATGAATAAACCCTAAACATGAAATCCAAACAGAATCTCAAGTCCGAAGCAAAATTATTTTTGGATAAACCAGACACATTCCAAAAACAGAAACAAAGGAGCATAAACAATATGGGATCCGATCGGTCATAGACTTATAGAGCAATATCGATGGAAATTAATCGCAAAGCTTAAATACTCAATCCTCCTCATTCATCATGAACACAAACCCAAAGTTTTGAAACAAAAAAAAACCCTAATTCGAAAGTTTTAATAAAGCAATACAACTCAAACGTCAAAACACAGAAACCACCGGTTGAAGAAGAAGCTCTGACTCATCGGAGATTAGGGCTAAAGTGAGAGCCTTGGGGCTTTCCATATACAAAACCATATAATTTTATAGCATTAAAATATCCAATATTAACTTAATGGTAACAAAATTTGCTATAGTTAATTATAAATAAAACTTAATTTTAACCAATTAAAGGATATTAGTGATCTTTTAGTAAGGAACACAAAAATAATTGACCACGCTGAGATTGAATGAAAGGTCGTTAAAGCTAAAATTCACCGAGGAAACCTTTGCACGCCTCCGTTACCTTTTGGGAGGCCTACGCCCCATAGAAACTGTCTACCTGAGACTGTCCCTTGGCCCGTAGGTCCTGACACAAGGTTAGAATTCTAGCTCTTCCAGAGTGGTATCTCACTGATGGCTCGGGCCCCCCCGGAAGGAGGCCTTCTTCGCCTTCCACCTAAGCTGCGCAGGAAAAGCCCAAAGCCAATCCCAGGGAACAGTGAAGCTTCATAGGGTCTTTCTGTCCAGGTGCAGGTAGTCCGCATCTTCACAGACATGTCTATTTCACCGAGCCTCTCTCCGAGACAGTGCCCAGATGATGATTAGTCATCTAAATTGAATAAGAGAGCTTATATCAAAAAATTTTACTTCGCATATAGTATATATGATATGATTTTATTGTTTTTTTATTATATTCCAAGTTTTAATAATTTTAAAATTTAAATGTTTTTTGATTAAATTCCGATTTATCATAATTTTTTTTATTAATTTACAATTTTTAATAATTTTTTTATTTTAATTTTTTATTAAATTCCAAGTTTAAATATTTTTTGTTAGTTTACGATTTTAATAATTTTTTAATAATTTTCGATTTTTAATATTTTTTATTAAATTTTATTTTAAAAAAATATAAGGAGGGGTAAAGGGTAATTAGCCACTCTGAAATTGAATGAGAGAGCTTGAACTCAAAATTTTACTTTGCTTATAATATATATGACTACAAAATTTTGAATGGACCTTTTTGTTCATTTTATATGTTTTCTTTGAAAGCCGAAGAAAATTCTAGTCGAAACTCATAATAATATTCGGAAATTGTTAAAAATAGAGTAATTTTTATTTGTTATCTAAGACATTTACATAAAAAGAAAAAAAATCGCTCTTACAAAACATTTCTTATTTGAATTTTTCTTTGCTTAAATGAAATATCGAACTCTTTTGAAATTTCACCTACGTCTGATATGTTTTTGTCACTAAATAATTCTCAACTGTCTGTCGATATTTCTTTCTCTTTATCAATGTGTAATCTGTTCTAATAGTCAACGGGTTGTTGTTGTTGCTACCATAGTACACGCACACGGTTGACATATATTTCACCAAAATGTGGTGTGATTATTAATTAATAAATGATTAGAAAGATCAATAATCGAAAATGAAATCGTGAAGAGAAAGAGACGATGATTACTCATGATATATGATAAGAGAGTGGGCAATGATATGTAAGAAAGAGAGGAAAGAATTCAAACATGTCATCGATAATTCATAAACAGCTCCAACTACAAGCATTATATATGTACTGTCTTCTTTGCAAGTCATATAAAGTAGCGTCTATGGGTTTTGATACATTTATTTTGACTAAAACAATAGGAGATCACATCAGGTGATGACTGATGAGGTTGTGTAACTTGTGTTGTGTTACTTGTGTAAGCTATAATTTAAGTTTACTGATTGAATATATAAATTTTAACAGCCAAAAAAAGAGAAATAGTCGAATGCCCACTATTACCAGCTCCACACAATTACACGTATTTCGTTTCCGCTTCGGTTTCATGCAACCTAGGTTTCAAATTTTTTCTTTTATTTATGTTAAATTAGGTTTCAACTTCAACTAATAGAGATCATTTTTCAAAAAAATAAAATTATTAAGGTCGCCTCTTCATGTCAATGTTTTGTAAACCCTTAATCTGGAGTAAATGCATTTTTTTATTATTGTCCATACACACACAACATTTTCATTGGCTATATGAACGTGTGGGTGACTCTTTCAAAAGTGAAATAAGACAATTATCATCATAATACCACAACTCTATTTTCTTTTATCTTTTTGAAAAATCTAAGAAATAAAACAGTTTCCATAAATTATATAAATAGATGATGAGATGACATAATTTATGGAATGATACATATCTTTTATCCAGAACTTATTGTATTGGGTACGAAGCAACTTGATGACCACATCTTTTTATGTCCACGACACATCAACCCAATCAAAGTTTTGTTATGTAGTATATATAGAAGAGTAATATACAAATTATGTAGCTTTGTTTTCAACCTATCAGCTTTTTTTTCCCTCAAATCATGTATTAGCTTTTTTTATCCCTCAAATCATTTATTAGCTTTTTTTTTTCTTTTTTTCTTTTGTGTGTGTAAATTTTTAGGTAATTGATGGCCAATCATATATTCAAATTCCAAAGTCGATACAACGTTGGGCCTATAATGCCCAGATAGACCCAAACCCAATAATGATTCATTCACAAACTTTTGATGGCCTATGCAATTTGCTCTTTCTTTTATTTTGTGCGGAACTAATTAATGAAGAATCGTTTAAAAAGTAGTAAAACCTGGTTTGTAAAATATAAACACACACTTCCGACTAAGACAACGGATCTCGCTTTCCTTAATTAGATTCGATCGTAGCCATCGTTATATCTAAGACCCATTTATAGCCGTTGATTTCATTCCTTCATTAGAAAGTGGCCTCCCTCTCTTTCCGGTTTGACGCTTTGACAAGTTTGAATACAGTCAAAAGAGAAAAAAAAAAACCAAAAAAACAGAAATACCAGATAACCGGAAATCGGTTTACCACGCCGGGAAATGTCGTCGGAGCTTGGTTTTACCCTGATCACCACCGTCACTACGATTTTTGCTCATTTGACCTTGTCCAATGGCTTATTACATTCTGGTAGTGTCTCTCATGGTGTTTCCAAAAGCGATTATTACTTAACTACCGATGAGCTCTGGTTTAATCAAACCCTAGATCATTACTCTCCTTATGTAAACTTCTCTTTACCAATTTCTTCCCTATTTTTGATTCTGAATTTTATTTTTGCGTTGATTGTCAAATGTTCGCAAGATTATTAGACTTATTGCTCTGATTTTTGTAATTTTATCCAAATTTCAAGAAATTGATTTTTCCTCAGGATCATCGCAAATTCAGACAAAGATACTATGAATTTCTAGACAACTTTAGAGCTCCAGATGGTCCTGTCTTTCTGATAATCTGTGGTGAAGGTCCTTGCAGTGGCATAGCTAAAGATTATATAAGTGTAAGATTTTAATTATAAACCAGAAATTCTTGTGAAATATTCTTAAAAGAGGATTGATGTTTTCATAAACATATCTTTAGGTATTAGCAAAGAAGTTTGAAGCTGGTGTGGTTTCATTAGAACATAGGTACTATGGTAAAAGCTCTCCTTTTAACTCACTAGCTACAGAGAATTTAAAATACCTTTCATCAAAACAAGCCCTTTTCGATCTAGCCGCTTTCCGTCAATATTACCAGGCAAGTCTTCTTGCTTTCTTTGCATTCATTTTCATGAGATCATCTCATGCTTATGAGATCATGTCATGCTTATGATCTTCATTTGTTTGTGTTTTGGGAATTTGTGGATGCAGGAAACTTTGAATGTTAAGTTGAATAGAAGTAGTGGTGGTAGTGAGAATCCATGGTTTGTCTTCGGGATATCTTATCCCGGAGCTTTAAGTGCGTGGTTCCGGCTTAAGTTCCCTCATTTGACTTGTGGAAGCCTTGCTAGCTCTGCAGTTGTTCGTGCTGTCTACGACTTCTCTGAATTTGATCAGCAGGTGTTAATTCAAACAATGTTTTTTTCAAGATTTAAGCTTAAAAAGTGGAAGCTATGATCTTGTGAAAGTTGTGGTGAAAGATTCGATCTTTTTGACATTGTGAGCAGATTGGTGAGTCAGCTGGTCAAGAATGCAAAGCTGCATTACAGGAGACTAATAAACTCTTGGAATTAGGGCTTAAAGTAAATGGAAAGGCGGTGAAAGCGCTCTTTAACGCCACTGATGAGGTCTTCTTAATCTCCTCTAGCTCTGTTTGTGACTGATAGTAATGGAAGTAGAAGTCCCACTTTCAGTTTAATACATTTACGAAATCTGCAGCTTGATGTTGATGCTGATTTCTTATACTTCACCGCAGATGCAGCGGTTTTAGCGGTAAGGATTATCCATATTCAAATTGTTTTCATTTCCATGTTCTTTCTTAGTCTTGCCTTAAAAGTGATACTAACTACTGTTTAAAAATCTTGAAGTTCCAATATGGAAATTCAGATAAACTATGTGTTCCCCTTGTTGAAGCAAAGAAGAATGGTAGTGATTTAGTGGTAAGCTTACATTGTTTTTCTCCCTCTCTCCAATGCTTCAAATCGCCTTGGAAGTAAAGTTAACATTTTGTATTTCCTATAAACTTTTTAATGGGTTTTGTAATGCAGGAAACATATTCTAAATATGTTAGAGAGTATTGTATGGGAGTTTTGGGCCTACGCGCTAGACCATATAGCCGGAAACATCTGAGAAACAATGTAGTTACCGCTGATAGTACATATCGGTTATGGTGGTTCCAAGTTTGCACAGAATTAGCATATTTTCAGGTGTCACCTACTAATGATAGTGTTCGATCTCAGCAAATCAATACAGAGTTACATTCTTGACTCACTATTTCATATACCCTTTTTGTAAAGTGACCATTTTTACTCACTATACCTCGATTATTTGTGTAGCTACCATTTGGATTTATGCAAGAGCCTTTTTGGGAATGGTATATACCCTGAAGTTGATGTAACAAACGTATACTATGGAGGCGATAGAATCACGGGTATGTCACATTAAAAACCTTCTCCAAATCTCATTTTAGTCTTTACACATTGTGATGATTGTTTGGTAAATTATACATACAGCAACCAAAATCATTTTTACAAATGGGTCACAAGATCCATGGCGTCATGCTTCAAAACAGACATCCTCTCCTGAATGTAAAGTCTTTTCTCCTTTTTTGATATCGACTTGGCTTTAAGTTCTCTGTTTTGAATTTGTGCATTTTCTGATGTGGCAGTGCCTTCTTACATCATGAACTGCCATAACTGTGGCCATGGAACTGATCTAAAAGGATGTCCCCAATCTCCAATGGTCATTGAAGGTTATTAGCACTTGTTTTTTTTGGTTCCCTAAGGTCAACAAATGTTAAATATCTTTCTTTGATTTCAGGTAAATCAAATAATTGTAGCTCACCAGATGCTGTAAACAAAGTGAGGGAACAGATTGTTGACCACATCGATTTGTGGTTGTCTGAATGCCGCGGATCTACTAGGATGTATAGTGTCGCATCATAGGAGTCACGGTTCGGATCGGTTTGGCTAACAAACTACATTATACACACCTTAGGTTGTATTACTACCGATTTGCAAACAAATCTTGAATGAACATATTCAACTAAAGCAGTACGCGGTGAACACATTTAAGGACCTTTTCTGTTTTGTGTAATTATTCAAGCCGCAAGCAGAAAGGATGCAGTTTTTTTGTATCATTATGTAACAAAGATTGCAAGAAAGTTTTTTATGGGGGGCTAATGGTTAACTCATATCTAAAAAATCATCTCTAAATCCTAATTACATGTACATATATGCATGATAGAAATGATCTCCTTCTAGCCAACTTTACGTTTCGGAATCTAGATCTGAACAAATTACTCGAATTCCTTGAATTAAGTTTTACTTGAACCACTGAAATTTACTTGTAATCCAATGAATATATACTTGTAAGTTTTGTTTTTCAAAAAGTTTGTAGGTTATTCATCAATAGAAATCCAGTATAAAAGAATTTGGTTAAGCCTCGTACACTGTATGTGTGGACTTATTGTCAGCTTTATTATTTTAACATAATTATTCCTTTCTGTAACATTTTTGTTTGTCATGGTAGAAGGTGGACTTTTAATGCATGTGTTCATCTTTTAATGCATGTGTTGGTGAACAAACTTACAAATATTTAAGATTTTAAGGTTTATAGTTTATTTTTGAGAGAAAAGGTATATGGTTTTTTTTCTTCTCAATATTTAAGGTTTTCAATTATGATTGTTAATATTACTTCGTATAATCTATGATTATAAAATAAATTACGTACTCCATACAATCACAGAGTGGGTTCTTGTCAATCCATGTCGGACGAATATTTAAGTAATTATGTTGTTGGGATCTCATTATTTATGTCTTATAATTGAAACAAGCAAGACCGTTGAATTTAAATTCGTTCTTGTTGCACGAATGATCGATATCTTTTTCCTCAGAGACAAATTATCTATTTTTTCCCCCTAAACGTGTAATTTTGTATATATTTTTTTAAATTAAGGTTCAACCGGAATGGAAATGATTAATAATTTCACAAATTTTCATTTGCTTGCTAATTTATATGTTTCGAGCTAGTTAAATTCACAAAATCTATACAGTTTTTTAAACTAAAGTGTAGTTTCCCCTAATCAGTAAAAGATACTCTTCAAAAAAAATAAAAATATTAACTAGTAAAACTTTGTTTCTAAGTCAGAATATTATTCCCAATGTATCTTGTCCCGTATTAATAATATAGTACTATTCATCTTGTTTCTTTTAATGTTTATCAGCTGGAAGTTGGAACCAAAAGGGTTAGGTTTAATTAATACATAAAGTCATAAATAGTCTCATTTTTTCAGAGAAGCTTTATTATGAATCCTACAAAATCTACCATGTTTTTTTTTCCCAAAAGACACTAGGTTTTCAACTACAACATAACAAGGAAATTAACTTGTTGTCTTCATTTTACTACTCCTTCCGTTTTATAATAAGTGTCATTTTTGACACATTTCACACATATTTAAAAATTAATAAAATATACAAATATACCCCTAATTAATATATTTTTATAACATTTAATTACAAAGACTATTATCTTTAAATGAGGGATAAAACAAGAAA